GTTAGCATATAAAATTATCTTTGTGGAGAGGCGGTTCTGTTAGGAATGCTCATTAACAGAGGAGAGTGTCAAACAGGTTCTTCTTTCACTTCCTTTCTGGGATAATGCAAAGGAGCAAGAAGCGTAGAGCCTGGAGCCGAATGGCGATTATGATGCCATATACTCCGGTTGTCCGGGTATCAGTCGTCTATCATAAGTACTTCGGTTGCCGATTTTACAACTGACAGTTACGGCTGTTTTTTACGATCGAACTCCTACAACCCGTCTTAAGCCTAATTTCAGTTCCGAGTTAGAACCAGGATTATAGATGTCGAGAGGGAGTACTTTTATTACCCGGAGATTTTTCTTTTCCTTTTTGTGCCCCTGAGGTGTCGATAGTCTTTTCCAACTGTAATACTTTTATCCTGCTATGCTTCATCTAAAGAATCCTTAATGTTTCAAAAACTGTTCACCTTTCAAAGAATTTAGGCCTTATTTGTAGGTTTGTGTCTGATATTCTTATATATATATATTGTGAAAATTGATTTTTTCTTTTACTCAACAATTGCACGTCTAAAAAATTTATTTTTCTCGGTAAATGTGTTGTTAAATAATTGATTTTCTTATTTCATATATATATATTTTGATTACTGCCTATAATTAAATTTTTATAAGCTTTTAAAGAAACTATAAAATATTTTTCCTTATCTATAAATATAGATATTGTATTTATTTATTTATAGAAGGAGACAAATTATATAAATACTCAAGAAATGATGTGTAATTCTAAATTTTTAAATTAATCTTTTAACCAATAAAATATATTGACTAATGTTATAAATAATTTTCCTTCTAAAACTATTTTATTTACTTACTTTTCAAAATAATTGTTTTAAACAATTATTTTGTAAATTTTAATTAGAAATGTAGATTAACTATAAGAAATTTAATTTATCGACATTCTTCTCTTTTATTTGCTTCTCGCATTAAATAACAATCAAAATAAACATCTATACAAAAATTCCCTTAAATATAATACTGAATCTTTAATTTTATCTTATCAAAAGAAAAAACAAATTTAAATATATTTTACTGAAAAAACGTTAAAGACTTTCTTACAATTTCTATATAAATTTTTCTAAAAATATTATAAAAATAATTAAAATAAATAACAAGCGAACTAAACATATTTATAAATTATTTTAAAACAAAATTCCTTCGTAAAAAAGTTATAAAGTTATTGATTGCTGTGACCTTTACATAATTTTTTATTCTTGTAAAAATTATTTATACAATAAATCTGTATCAGAATTTTCTAAAATAAGAAATTCTTCATGGTATAAGGTACGGTACGTGTTTAGGAATTTTTTTAAAGGAAAAATCAATTTGTAAATACTCCACGTGTATATTAAATGAAATAATTTTAAAAATTACAGATAACAGGATATGAATAACTAATCAACTTATGATTGATTCGTCAGTCTAAGATAATTTTACATGTAAAGTAACAGAATAAAAGATTAGTCTGAAATCTTTAAAATTTTATAGCTTACCTTTAAATATTATTAAATAAACGTTGTACTAAGCTATAAATATTACATGCATACAAAAGAAGAGATTAAAAAAGATGATTATCAACTATATATCATATTTTTATATTATATATCAAAACTGCTATGAAAATAAAAGATTTACCGAATAAAAATCTTTTAATATGTAAAAAAATTATATTTTAAATTTGCTTATTATGTATGTAATTTTGTTAAAAGTATACATTTTATATACATTTTTTTTCTCTTGAAAATGTTGAAAATAACAAAAAAATAAAATAAAATAAAAATAAAAATGTATTGTACTTGAATAAAGTACACTAAAAATATTCTGTTTATTTGAATAGAATTTAAAAAATATAAAAGATATATTTGATAAAGGAAAATACAGTATAATAGGTCATAAAATATAAGTTACGTCAATATGAAAGTATAATTTTCATTCACACATTTAAGAACTTAAAAATGTCTATGAATTCATGAAATTGCAAAAAAAACCCATGTATATATATTAGAACTTTACACTAATCCAATAATTTTCTATAAATTTATTTTATCGTAAAGAACTTTATAAGATCTATTCAAAGCAAAATTAATATTTATACATTAATAGGGACCAATAAAGTACACGATACCTTTAAACGTTTCTCTAACGACATCCATTATCTTTTTGTGGCAAAACTTTGGCAAAATATTCATCTATTCCATTCTTTAAACATATTATGAATTCACCAACATTGAATTACAAGCCGTTAAAGAATTTATAAGGAAATTTCCTGCAGTTACCATAAATTACGGGCAGAAACGAGATATCTTTATCGTGTGACCATAACTGTTACAAATCGGCTTCCCTTCGTACAGTCAATTATAACTCGGCCAAGTAAGCAATCATTTGAGAAAACAAAAGATAATATCGTATATAATGAGTGAATGGAAAGTGGAAATCATTTTTATGCTTCCCCTCGTTTAAAGACTAAAGAAAAATACACCATTAAGAAACTCATAAAGGGAATGAAGTGGTAGAAGCCTGTTAATAAAAAGCTTTGTAATAACTGAATATTGTAGATAAAAAGCTGTTTAGCTCTAAAAATATATATCTTAAACCATAAGGAATTTAATAGCAGTACATGATCTCTGGGTTTGGTTATCGCTTCTTCTACCATGCATCATTTCTTTTTAAATATAACTTTTATAAACATAAATATATACCTAAAAATAATTGTTAATTATTCTCACAAGATACTTTAAATTGTAAATTTTTTGGTCGACTTTAAACGATTAATGAAATACAAACTAATTCGATAACCGGCAAAGTCATTAATAAAAGTAAAGAAGCCGATGTCCATTAAACACTGATCCATTAATTTAGCTGTCGATCGAGTAATTAGTCAACGTTTATCAGTCAAAGTCCATCTAAGTAGTCAGTTTGATTCGAGTTAGATTGCTTTCTCGGCTTTTTAAATGTTTAAGATATTAATACAGAATATTAATTTAGAATAAATATACTAGAATCGATATTTTCGACGCCATCGTATTCTCATAACATGCATTGAAATGAAAAGAATAAGAAATAATGGCACACCGAAACAACAGGAACATCATGTATCAACGCAGTTTCGTCTAACAGATATTTCTTTATTTAGGAAAAAATCAATTAATATAATACACCGACAAAATGACGGACGAGTTTTTAATAGTTTTTTAGTGCTATAAGTAAGTCTTTTGTTCTAAGTATTCCCTGTAACGTATATTAACGTAAAATAACAGCATTACTTCATTTATTATTATTCCAACGATATGAATAAAAATAAACATTTGAATTCAGAACGTGAAACTTCGCCGTTAAATTTGATTTCAATAAATTTTTTGTGAATTTGGTGCATTTCTTGTTTATTAATTTCGCACAAACATTTTGTAAATCGAATAAAATAACTAGTTTTTAAATAAGAAAATTAGATTTATGTTATTGATTTGCCTTTCAGTATTTTTTTTTTAACTTTATAATAATGATAGTTTGTCTAATTTTTACGTGTAATTTTTGCAAATAGAAATCATTTACGATGATCTTTGTGATGATAAAACATTTTGATTAACTCTGGTAAGAGATCGATAATTTAAAATTAGAGCAGTGATTTCGGAACATGTAGAAGTGGACCTTAGCATGAGTTAGTATCGACTGCTGGAGGAGAATCGATGACAAAGATTCGACATAGTTGGTCCGAGTGACAGCTAGTCAATGGAACCGAATAGAAAGAAAGAAACTGGAAGGAACCAACAAACAGATTTTCTCCAGACGAAGTTCTAAAGAACGTTTTCTTGGACAGATTCGAATACTTTTCTAGGAAATACGGTTATCATCGCGTCACAAACGTTCTGTTTTTAGAAAGATGCTTTTCAATCTGTCAATAATATTCTTTATAATGTAACACGGTCTAATTTTTTTATTTTCTAATTTTCTTTATATTGAAAATTTTTAAAAATATTTTTATTTTATTCCGTATATATAACAACAGAATAAAAGATTAGTCTGA